ATATTATATTATATTATATTATATTATATTATATTATATTATATTATATTATAGATATTTTCAAGATATTTAATTGAGATTCACACCTCTGCTTCTAACTCATGTGCCACCTCTCTGGGCTTGCATTCCTTTGTGTGGATACTTTGCAATTAGAAGCCTCTTAGTTTGTTTGGAATCAGGTTCCCACTGTATAACTCAAGCTAGCCTCAATCTCTCTATACCATTAGGACCAACCTTGAGTTCATTGTGATCCTCCTGACTCAGCTTCTTGAGGACAAGGATAACAGGCATAAATCACCATGCCCAGCCAAAGGAAAAAATTAAATTAATTTTTTAAATTAATTTTATTATTTGCACTGTCCCATGTGCATGTGCACACACTTTCGAGCCACTATACACACATGCTGTTACAGTGCAGAGGCTACGATTGATTAGTGAAAATTTAGACAGCTAAAGAGATGAACTGTAAGCTTTATTTTCTCTGACATTTATGTATTTAGTGGGGTGGGGTGCCGAGCCATGGCACTCCCATGGAGGTCTGAGAACAACTTATCAGTATCTGGATCTCCCCTTCCACCAAGTAGGCTCAGGAGATTAAACTTCAGGTTATCAAATTTAGCAGCAAGCTTAATCTCCTGGACCTACATGGTGGAAAGGGGGAGCCAAGTACTGATAAATTGTTCTCAGAGTCATCCCTCAAGTGTTCTTTATGTCTCTCACTAGCTGCATGTTAGGCAGGGCACTCACCTTTTACCATGCCTTGGTTTCGATTTCAAACTAGATTTTTACTTGCTTGCTTGCTTGGTTGTTTTTATGTCCCCCTTTGATAAAATTGTGCAGGTAATTAAAGGCAACAATGCATGCCATATAAGTTGATCTCGGTGTTTCTCACCGAAGATATGCACTAGCTGCTGTTGCTACACAGGAAGGTGAAGAAAAACAGTGTGTTTCACAAAGAGTCCTGCTGTTCATTTTCAAGGGAACTGTTGTAAAATAAATAACAAATTTCAAGTGATTGTTTTTCGAAGACCAAATGATCTTTGAAAGTACCTAAGTTTTGTCCAAGGACTACATGCAAAAGATATCCATAGCAAAGCTGAACACAGCAGTGGGCTCAGAGGGTCCCCTGTGTTACACGTCCGCTGCATTATTTGTGAGTTCCGTAAAAGCCCAAGAACTATTGGAGAATTGTGATATGTGCACAGCAAGCTTCAGGCACCACGTAGTGGTATCAGTTATTACACTAGCAATTATTACTTGGAATTCACAATTCGAAAGCAGAAAGATCAAAGAAGCTACAAAGCACACATCTGTTTTTAGCATGACTTCCTTGATACACAGGCACTGATTTTTCCCAGGATGCTTTTCCTTATGTGACTTCATTCATAAACCTGTATGTATGCATTATGTGTATGCATTTATGTGTATGATAGCTCATTATTTTCTAAGCAATGAGGTGGAGGTGGCTTGAAATACTATCTGTATTTTATTCAGGTATGAGAAAATTCTCAGGCATTCAGCTGTGGCGCAACGACAGCCCAAGTGTTACAGGTTGTGTTAGTAACAGAATTTTCTTGCTGTAGAGCATTGGAATTTGAGAGAAAAATGTATTTGGTTGACAAGACATTACTGGCCGTGACTGTGGCCAATTGTAGCCATAGACCCAAAGAATTCTTACACAGTATTTTCAGGCATGAAAGGAAAAACACATGTCCCTTAAAAATATAGACATGATCCAGGGGTACAGGATGGCATAGTACTTTAATCCTAGTCCTTGAACAGCAGAGGTAGGTGGATCTCTGTGGGTTCAAGGCCAGCCTGATTTATGTAGTCAGGGTTATACCTTTGGTGAGACCCTATCTAGAAATGAATAAGTAAACAGTCAAACATGCTCAGCTTCGTTCAGGTTTCTGTGGGTAGAAAGGAGTATCCTAAGATGCCTGTATTCATTGCCTGACCTGGAGCCTGAGGAGGAGGATTTGTTAATGTAAAGTTGAGCCTCAGTTTCAAATAGTTTTAAAAGTTCCTAAATCTCATAGAGTATACGACCAAAGTTCAGAATGAAAATACGAGTGTGCTAAATATTTTCTCATGGATACACAGCTGTATTTGCTTGCCAATTTTGTTCCATGGCTTCGTGTCTTTCCAAAATGGACCCATTCCTCTCTGCATGGCCATGAATAACTGCAAGTTTATAATCTATCTATCTATCTATCTATCTATCTATCTATCTATCTATCTATTTTTCTATGTATATATCTATCTACATCATGTACATGTGCACACACATACATTTTAAATTGTGTTTCCTTTAAGTTATGATTAGATTCTCTTCTCTGATAGGGGGAGGGAGAAGCAATAATTTAAAGATTTTTTTTTCTAGAAACCTGTAACAATGGTATTCACCATTAAAATACACCATTGTTACAGGTAGAAATATAACACAATGTGAACTTTGGTTATTTTTTATAGTAAAACTAAAATTTCCTTTCTTCTCTCTTTTTCTATACTTTCTTAATTTTTGTTATATGTGCATTACATTTAAGCAAAAGTTTCCATGTTTTTTCAAATTATTATATTATATTATATTATATTATATTTTCAAATTATTATATTTTTTCCAGAAAAAAATCTGTTTCTAACTTGGTGTCATATAGTCACCAAGTGCACATCATCTTTCTGAGAGCAGATGGCTCCTGTGTGCGGTAGCCAACTTCTAAGCAAGTGTCATAATATCATGCCACATTTTTCAAGGGCTGGAGGCGGGGGGGGGGGGGACACCAGTATCTACAATCCATATGAGACTCTAGGTTTAATCCCCAGCAGCACAAAAGAAAACAAACGTGCACTCAGAGTCTGACTGCTGTGTGCTGTCAACAGTCAGGGATGCTCCAATGGGCTTGTCTAGCTTTGGCTCTTGGTTAAGATCAAGGTCTGACTTGCTCCCACTGCTGGTTCATTTAAGAAAGTTCCCCAACACAGGCTGCCACATTTTCTTATTTCCATAATACCATATTTCCTCCACCAAAGATTGCCATTACACACTTGTGAGTTTCCTTCACTTTGGTATCTGCAATATTTACTGGGTTTTTTTTTTCAAGCAATCGAGATTATATTATGCCTATGTGCCCGTGTGCACACACAGCCCTTTCTAACTTCATCTCAACCATTCATTATAATATGTCTGTGCCTGTGTACCAATACACATCTTGTAGTGTACTCAACTCGTTCTCTTTCCAGGAATTTAGCTTCCTCTGAACCAGGTTTTGTTAATAGAAATGATGCTGTGATAAACAGAATTCATATTTCTATTTTTTAAAATGATTTTCTTAGTATAGAAATTGGAATTAATGGGTCTGAGAACATCAACATCTTAAAACTTTTTAGAGTCAAAGAAACACAAGGCTGAACTGTCATGAGAGGCAAGTCCGTATACATGAAACTGAGAAATGAAAAACCATATCCCACATGCTTACAAACACTGGAATCTGTCTTTTTCACCTTTGAACCTGCGAACATTGCTTCTTTCCATATTATTTTCATTTA